AGTTATAATCTGATAATTATATGCATGTAAAGTTGTCAGTGTACTCTCATTCTGTAATACACACACAGACACAAATCCCTGCATTTCTAACAGAACTAATGCCAAGAAACTGCAGGGGAAACAATCAACAAACAAAATCTCATTTGCAGGCTTTTCATTTGCAGCTCCTAGCTTTGTTTTTGACATTTAACAGCCTTTTTCTAACAGCTCATTGCATTTCTGTACAGATGCATTTCTGTAGCTCCAGATAGTTTTATTAGTGCCTCTTCCATTGTTTGCCATTTCCACTGTAAACTCCAGCAGCACATAATACATTAAAACAACTCACTCTTGGAAACATTTGGCTGGCACTCCTGATTTTTTTTCCCCCTCTAACAAACATATCTCTGAAGTCATTTCTGCCCTGTGTCTTTACGTCTAAGGGTATTTGTCAAGGTTTTACATTTAAAGCAATATAGACAAACGAGGCCCAGCATTTTCTTCTGGTACTTCATTGACTGCTGCCCATGGCTGGTAAAACGGTCTGCTAACAGTAACTGGGAAATCATTCAGAGAAACTATTACTAATGCAGAGGAAATAAATAAAAGCACAATGACATGCAAAGAGCTCCGAGAGCAAAATTAGAAGGAGGAGTTGTGTGTGTATATGTGTGACTGTGTGTGTATGTCCTTGTCTCTCATTATCCCTAGATTGAGACAAATAGAGCGGGATCTGCCCTTCGATCTAAACCTCCACACCATTTACCCCTGACATCACAGCTGAGCAAGTGTGTGAGCGTCTGTGTGTGTGCATTTCATTAGCCTTTTAAGAGTGTGTATGTCTAACTGCAGGTTGCTGGCATGTCCTGATTTTGTGTGACATTATCGCATGTTTTGTGTGTGCAATCATCCGATCATATGCAATTTCTGAGGTGAGCGTGTGTGTATATTCCACATGCTCTGTGTGACAAAGTGTAGTGTGGATATGTCGCAATTATTAGGTTGACAAAAACGGTTGTGTGAATATGTATTGCTCCATGTGTGTCCAATGTGTGTGTGTGGAATGAAACATTAGACACACCTGGCTGAATTATGTTGACATGTCCTTTGTGTGCACAGCGTTCACTGAGCGAATTTTTATTTGGTGATTTGGTTTGACAACATAATTAGCCAGTTTACTCACCCAAACTCAACTGTGACTCATTATACACAAACATGCACAAATTTGCCTCACTTGAATGACAAACCAAGGATCAGAGTGACAGATAAAATATTAAGTGGAAGAGAACGGTACGGCCAATTTTTAATTCAACGCACAAACTGTAAAGTGCCAAAAAATGATACTACCCAACAAATTCCTCCCTCCCCCTCTCTCTCACAAACACACCCAAGACAATACCACTGTTGTTGGCAACATGGATTTTGTATCTTCAGCTTGCTGCTCAAACGATCACATCATTATAATATAAGCTGCAAACCCACTATCTCTCTC